CTGCAGGGGAGACGGCCTAACTGTCTTGGCACATCCCCAGGCTCAGCCAAGACCAGTGGTCAGTCTTCCCAAGCAGCCCCATTCTGCGAGGTATTCTGTCAGCAGCAAGGGCCCGGGTTTCCATGGAAACCACTGGGTTCGGGACTTCTGGCGACAGTTCCATCACTGGAGGGAGAGGTCCCTCTGGGCTTTCCCATGGCACTGCTCTCCTGCATGGTCTGAAGCAGGCAGCGGCCCGCACAGCCCCTGTACCTGCCCCCCACCTCGGGGCAGCAGCCGCCCCTCTGAGGGCCGACAGAGCCCCCTGCTGGGCTGTGCTGCCTGCCCTGTCTGCTCCCTTTGGGCCAGAAGGAAGTGTGGGCCACGCCTGCCCAGAAATGAATTCAGCATGTTCTTGCTCGGGATTGGTGCCGTCTCTAAAGAATGGCCAGTGTGAGAGAGGACAGCCACACGGACCCTGCAGGCCACGGACCAGCGAGCAGGCAACAGCCAGGAAAGGAGATGCCTGGTGAGGAAAGTGTCCATGCGATCCAGGCCTGAAGACACGGATCGTTCCTCCAGACCATAGGCTTGGCAGGGCCTGGCAAACGTGGCCCGGCCATAATGCAGCAGGATACCAAGACAGCAGTGTGACTGAGTTCGGAGGGGACCCAACTTGCCACCCTCCCGAGTCCCGAGTGCCAGGCCACACCGTAAGTCAGGGAAGACCTCTAGAAGCTTGGCGGGCAGGGCCGGACGCCGGTGCAGCCGTGAGCGTGACACGGGCCCATGCGGGAGGGGTCGGGGCTACATCTGGTGGCCTCTGAGTGCTCTGAGCATGACAGGCTGGCCGAAGCTGGCATGGGTCCTGAGACCCACTGGGTGCTGCCCCTGTCTCTCCCTTGTTACAGAAATGAATGGGGGTTGCAAAGGGGTGACAGCCCTACGGCAGTGAGTAGCAGAGACACCCACAGGCGAAGTGCTGGGGAGGGACGAGCAGGAGCCGCGGCTGCCGAAAAGCCTGTGGCTGAGGGCTGCTCATCTGGGCAGGGCCGCGTGCACCAGCACTGTGAGTTCCTCGCCCTCCGCACACACAGCGTCCTCCAGAGAGAGGAGGGGACAGCTCCCACCCAGGGGCTGCAGTGAGGACAGCTATGAACAGGATCCCCCCAACACTGGCAGCATCTGGGAAACCTCCTGCAGCGAGACCCAGCCAAGAGCTCCCGGACACCAGTGGCCATCAAGGGCTTGCTCAGACAGGCTCAGGGACGCACTCAGCTTCTTCCAAAGCAATCGACAAGCTGCCGTGCATCTCAGAGTAGACAGAAAGAGGGCTTTCAAAATCTCCAGGTTAAACTAACCCATCTTAGCCTAAGACAGCTGCTCTGCTCCCACACTGGGGATCCGATGGATAAGCCAAGACCCTTAGGCTGTCTCCCCAGCCGGTTGCCAATCACAGCAGCCACATGGCTGTCAGTCACAGAAGGCCCGCCTTGTAGGCTGCTTCTGCTGCCTGCTGCCTGCCACCAGCCACCACCCGTAAGAGCCCTCCCATAAGTCAGGGAAGACCTCTAGAAGCTTGGCGGGCAGGCTGGATGCTGAGCCATCACCTGCACCTGTAAATCTGTACCGTTGCTGTGTCAGTAAAACCAAAGAGAAAGAACACATGTAGCCACACTGAATGTCCTGAATTGTACCTTAAAAATGGCTGAGATGGTAAATTTCATGTGTATTTCGTCACTATAAAAAGTTAAAATGACTCGACGATCCCGGACTGGTTGTGTTTATGTGTCTCACGTGACCACGTGTGCGCCCACTGACAGGGCCGTCACGGTGTGTCTGACGTCAGAGTGGGTAGGACTGGGAGGACGCAGAGCTCGGTGGGGCCTGGCTCTGTGGATTCAGAGCCACGTTAGCTCCACTGCAGACTTGAGGCTTAGCCTTTGGGGGCATCTCAGCCACCTGTGCCTCAGTCTCCCACCTGTAAAGTCGTGAAGCCCAACCACTGTTGAAGGAGCCCGACCCAGTAGGGCCCCAGGATCTGTTTTGAGCTTTTGACCTTTAAGTACCACTTAGGTCAGGTCAGCACGTTGGCAAGGCTGCTTACTATTTGCTCTAGAAACTGTGGTAGCCTTGCTGGGAAGTGACCCCTCTCTGACTCCCTGATATACTACTATAAAAAAATTACATAGCTCTCTTGAGTATGTGATAAGATTTTCCCAAAAGTCCCCCGGCCACTCCCCTTGGCCCTGATCACCTACGTCAATCACAATGCTTTAGCTCTGTAGTCACAATAGAGGGTGTGCTGAAGTTCTATCTAGGCAGAAATAATCTTGACCTTTAGAAGGCCCTTTAAGATACATTTAACATAAGCTTAAAGATAATCTTTTCTTTACATAAAATAGGATTAGGTCAAAACTGGCCCAGGACACCCCCACCCTCACCAAGTGAAATAGATAAATATATTAGGATTTCTTATATTAAGGTTTAGATCCCTATAAAACTATATAAGTATCATTCTTTATTAAGATCCATAAGAACTAATATCTATACTTAAGATTTTCTTTTCTCAGCATCGTGTTCAGTAATCACAAGATGGCTGCCGCTGCATCAGCTGATAATTATCTCTGCTTACTGGAACCGCTTTCCCCGAAACTGCATTCCATGGAGACCCACCTACATCAAACGAACGATTGTGGAACCTCAATAGACCCACCCTTAATCCAACCCTGAATGGAATCTATGATCCCTATTGAACTAATAATTAGAACACGTAGCCCCTCACCCATTTACTTGCATGTATCACATTTTCAATTAAACACCGCCCCGAGGCTGGACCCCAGCACAACGTGCTGCTGAGACACTGCTCCAGGGAGCCACACATGGGACCAGGTTCCACTCAGTCAGCCTAGAGGCTGGAAGCCAGGGCAGACCTGTGAGCCTGCTGATGAGGATGTTGAGCAGGAAGGTCACAAGCTGGAGGCCTGAACAACGGGGCAAGGTTCTGTCCAGGAAGAGCCAGAGCGCAGGGAGGGAGGCCTAGGGAGGGAGGCCCAGGGAGGAAGGCCCAGGGAGGGAGGTCCAGGAAGGAAGGCCCAGGGAGGGAGGCCCAGGAAGGAAGGCCCAGGGAGGGAGACCCAGGGAGGGAGGCCCAGGGAGGGAGGCCCAGGGAGGGAGGCCCAGGAAGGAAGGCCCAGGGAGGGAGACCCAGGGAGGGAGGCTCAGGGAGGAAGGCCCAGGGAGGGAGGTCCAGGAAGGAAGGCCCAGGGAGGGAGACCCAGGGAGGGAGGCTCAGGGAGGGAGGCCCAGGGAGGGAGGTCCAGGAAGGAAGGCCCAGGGAGGGAGGTCCAGGAAGGAAGGCCCAGGGAGGGAGGCCCAGGAAGGAAGGCCCAGGGAGGGAGACCCAGGAAGGGAGACCCAGGGAGGGAGACCCAGGGAGGAAAGCCCAGAAAGGAAGGTCCAGGGAGGGAGGTTCAGGGAGGGAAGCCAGGGGAGGGAGGCCTGGGGTGGAAGGCCCAGCTATGGAGGCACTGTGGAGCCTGAGGAAGGAGGCCTAGGGTTGGGGGCCCAGGTGTGGAGGCACCACAGAGCACAGGGAGGGAGACCTGCAGAGGGAGGCCCGGGGTGGAAGGCCCAGTTATGGAGGGACCGTGGAGCCCAGGGAGGGAGCCCCAGGTTCCGACACCGGGCTAACCAAGTGCTGTGGCATGCCTGCGAACCTAGCTGCGTGGGAAGACTGCAGAGGGACAAGGCCTCGTCGGGCGCTCTCTCTTTCTCTCTCAAAATAATTAAACTTAAAAAACAAAAGAGAAGACCTAGTTGTCTCAATCCATTCCTGCATTGCTCATAGGAATACCTGAAACTGAGTGATCTATAAAGAAAATCCTTTATGGACTCCCAGTCCCAGCAGCAGCTCAGTCTGGAGGGGCAGCTGTGTGCTGCTGCCCACTGCAGGGCCAGCAAGCAGAGCATGGCGGACTCAGCAGAGCTGCGAGCTACGAGCTGGGGCAGTCTGTCTCTGAGGGCACCCCTTCTCAGGACTCCTGCACTGGGACTCCTGGCCGTGGATCAACTCACAGATCCACTGGGCCTCACCTCCTCCCAGCATCAGATCCCACAGCCCGCCAGGCCGCTCTGGGCGGGGCACCTCCTGTCCCCCTGTGCACAGTTCACCCACCGGAGCAGCAGGCACCTTGTGGCAGCGCCACTCGGAAGCCCTTAGAAGAGCAGAGTGGGGCCCCACCCCACCTATTGGAGCAGAAGGGCATTTTCTGTGCACATTAAATTCTGAGAAGCAGACTCAGCTATTCCAGGTCGCTCGTGTTGCCTGTGATAATGCACATTTGAGGTTGCTCAGCTTTTCTTATTTCTTGACTTTATTTACTTACTTCATGACAGGAAGGAAAACAGGAACCCTCAACGCTGCAGCGTTCTCTCCCCTCCCTGCCCCGCCTCTCAGCCAGCCTAGACCAGGTGGTCTTGGCGCATGCCCCTGAGAGTGCAATCCGCCCAGAACCTAACCGGCTTGCCCCAAGCCTTCCAGTGCTGCAGAGCCCTACACCCTCCCTCTCCTGCGTAAGAAGACAGTGAGCGCATGCAGAGGCAGACACCCCCAGGGGCTCGGGGCTCCTCCAGCGCACACCTACCCCAGCCCTCCAGCTCCCAGGGTCCGCCCCTGCGCAACCCAGTGATTCGCCGTGCCCTGCAGCCCGGTGTCCAGGGCAGGGCGAAATAGTCTAAAATTAAAATAAAAGAAAGCTACTGTGACCAGGCAGGGAATGTAGGCTGCGTTGTAATAGCGGTAGCAGCAGGAGCGCCCTGGCGGACTGTGCCACTTGGGGGCGTCCAGAAGCTGCGAGAGGGAGCATCAGCGAAAGCCCGGGGCCGCGCCCTGCGGTGTCTAGCTGGGCGGGGCCTAGGGCGCCCAGGGCGAGGGCAGGAGCGAGGGGCGGGACCTAAGGCGGCCTGGACGAGGGGGCGGGGCTTTGGGCGGCCTGGACGCGGGGCCGGGTCGCGGGGCGGGGCCGGGCGAGCGCGGAAGCCCGGGAAAGAGGCGCCGGGATGGAGTCCTGGGCCCTGGCTCTGCTGCTGCTGTGCGCGGCGGCGAACCCAGCCTGCGCCTTCACCCTGGCTGGACCTGGGGGCCGAGCGCCGGGGGCAGCTTTCCAGGTACGCGGATCGGGGTCCGGGCTGGGGCAGGACCCGGACGGGGCGCGGTCTACAACAGCCATCGCAGGGGCTGCCCTGGGCCTGGCCCAGGCGGGGGTCCCCTCGGGGTGCCATGGAGAGGATCCTGGGCCGGGTCGGGGCTGGTCCTCAGAGCTGGAGCCAGAACCGGACTGCGGAGGGCCCATGGGGGTCGGGATCAGGGACCACGGCGGCCGCCGACATGGGATCGTCCACTTTTCTCAGCCTCCAAGTCTGACACGGTACTAAAGATGCAAACGTCTATAAATCTCATACACGATTTTCATTGTAACCTGCAGGAGGTCAAGCTTACACTTTTTTAAAAGAGACTTTTGCTATAGCGTGCATGCACTTGTCAGAGAGACAAAAAGAGAGAGAGACAGAAAGCGAGAGATCACTCCCAGGGGGCATGGCCACTCACAATCCCTTCTCCTTCATTTTCCTCTCAGGATCTCGGGCACGCATGCACAGGTGCCCAGCGTGTTTTAAGTCACTGGATCGAGGACTTGAACCGTGGTCAACTGTGCGGGAGTCCAGCGATGTAACCATTATGCCACCTGCTGGTCCCCGAGCTTTAAATTTATACCTACAAAATGTCTCTGAATAGCCATGCACAAATTACTTTGGAAAAACATTGCCATAGCAGATATAAAATAACTTTTTTGTTTTTTATTTTAGGAAAGTCTTAACAGACATCGATATTTGAATTCTTTATTTTCTAAAGAAAACTCCACGGCCTTCTATGGAATAAATCAGTTTTCTTACTTATTCCCCGAGGAGTTTAAAGGTATGGCCTGACAGCGCTAAGAGCTGGTTAATTTTCTTATCTTAACTTGCTCCATTTTTCAGGACCTGTCTAAACGTGAAGCTAACAAACTGAGTGCCGGTCGGCGTGTGCCGACGGCTCACCCACAGTCTAGCAGGCACGCTGAGCTCACTGTAGAAACAAGTTCATGCAGCGTGCGGTGCTCACATGTCCACTCCCCTCCTGCACGCTGTGCCGTCTGTTCAGGACGCCACGCCTTCCTGTGTCAATGGGAATAGCCAAGCCCTGTGAGTGAAGGTGCCCGGGCCGGTCTCCCGCAGCCTCGGACGGCTCGGGCTTCATGCCACAGCCTCTCCTTAGTCCTGAGAGCAAGCCGGGCAGAGCACATGGGTCCCTGTCCTGACCTGGCCCCAAAGGCTGAGCTCTACAAGTGGGAGGCCCGCAGGTGACAGGTGGGCTTAGAGATTCTCAGGTTCACAGTTAGAAGCTCAGGTCTTCATCGCAGAACTACTGAGTCAGCAGAAAAGACTGTCTAAGTCTGTTTTTATTTTTTAATTTTCTGCAAGGTGTGCATGCTCACCAGAGAGAGAGGGACAGGGAGAAAGCACCCCCCGGGGGGTGGGTACAGCCACACCAAACTTCTTTACCCATCCTCCTCAGGATTTGGGGCACACATGCACACACACGTGCCTGGAGTGTTTTTCAAGGTACTGGGTGCCGGACTCGAACTACAGTCAGCCATGTGGGATTCACCTGCCTCAACCGCCAGGTCCCTGGCCCTGAGATGAGCTTAGCAGAGAGGACACTGTTGCACCTCGGGGAGGCTGTGCGGGTGGGTACAGGGCCGGTGCGCTCTGCTCCATCGGAGCCCTGCTAGCTGGCGGGAGCGCTCTTCAGGCCCCCGGGGAGTTTAGAATCAAGGGCCAGCCCTCAGGTCACATAACCCGCAAGGTCAGTGTCAATCACCTGTTACCGCCCTGGTCCCCGAGGCCTCGAGGCCTCATAGCGACGCTGCCCCTTCATGGCTCAGCTCTGGCATCTCATGCTCGGGCAGCGCAGAGGGGACCAGAAGCGGCAGGTCTGCTGGGAAAGAGCTGCTGACTGCTCCCACAGCCCTCCCCGCAGGTAACGCCCGCTGGGAAAGAGCGGCTGACTGCTCCCACAGCCCTCCCCGCAGGTAACGCCCGCTGTCTCCTCACTGCATTTTCTGCTCAGCCATTTACTTACGAAGCAAGGCTTCCAAGCTCCCCAGATATGTGGCGGGCGGACAGACGACCTTCTCTAGTGAGTCTCTGCCCCTGAGATTTGACTGGAGGGACAAGCACATCGTCACGCCGGTGAGAAACCAGCAGACGGTAAGTTTGACTTCCCTGTTTAACCTCCATCCAGGAATGCTGTCCTGGAGCTCGGGGTGGCAGGGAGATGAGGATTGAGGGCAGGCATCCCGCCCTGGGGAAGCCCTCCTGCGTGGTCCCCACTGGCCGCCCTGTGCTGCAGCTCAAGGCCCTCCTGCAGCCAATCAGAGCCCAGCTTTCTCCAGGAGGGCAGATGGGCAGCAGCGAGGCAGCTGTGAACTCACGTGTTTACGTGGTCCCAGAAAGAACCAGACGTCAGACGTAGGCGGGTGTGCAGACCTTGGCCTGGGCTCCACCAGAAAGCCTGCCCGCCTCGCCTTTCCACCTGTGGTCCCCACGGGAGAGGTCGGCTTGAGAATTCGGAGTCTGCATGTTCTGGAAAATCTACGTGCAATTTCAAAGGTGGTTTTTTTTTTTTTTCACCAAAATAAACTCATACTTTTTTCTTCTTTTGAAAGGTTTTTGCTATAGGGCACATGTACTCACCAGAGAGACAGAGAGAGACATAGGGACAGAAAGCGAGAAATCATCCCCCAGGGAGGATGGTCATGCCGCAATCCCTTCTCCATTCTCCTCTCCTGATTTTGGGCATGCACGCACACGTGCCTGGCGTGAATTTAAGCCTTGGTCTGGGACTCAAACTACCATCAACTACATGGGAGTCCGACGATGTAGCCATTACACCATCTGTTGTTCCTAATAAACGTGCCCTTTAATTCTGTTTTTCCACAACCTTTTGAAGCCCCTGGTGATGAGAACCTGTGTATCTGAGAGCAGCTCAAGGAGGGTCATTGCCCCGCCCTGTCCCTCCTACGGCCCACAGTTCCTGTGAATCTTGCCCTCCAGCTGCAGACCCTGCTCTGTGTCCTCTGGGGTTCCTGTCCCCTGAGAGACGCTGCTCCATGCCCTCTGAGGGTCCCTGTCCCCTGAGAGACGCTGCTCCATGCCCTCTGAGGGTCCCCGTCCCCTGAGAGACCCTGCTCTGTGCCCTCTGAGGGTCCCTGTCCCCTGAGAGACGCTGCTCCATGCCCTCTGAGGGTCCCCGTCCCCTGAGAGACCCTGCTCCGTGCCCTCTGCCTCTGCCTTTTTCTCGACACCGGCCCTTTTGCCTCTGGTTTGTTGAACCAGAGCTCACAGACCCAGTTGGAGAGGCGCCTGCCTCAGGTGTGAGTGACGCTGGGTGAGGCAGGACATCCAGAGGTGCCGTCTGAGGGCGCGGGTGTGGGTAGTGTCAGGTCGTCTCGCCGGCCTGGAAAGCAGTCGCCCAGTGCCTGTCCCCGGCAGACAGGGAGGCCATGTCCACCCGCACCTTGTCACCGGTGCCCACCGAGGCATAGCGGGTCTGAGGGGCTGAGTCGGGCCACACTCCTGGGTAGAAAAGCCTCGCCAGCCAGAGTCGAGAGACCAGCAAGCAGACCGGTCTCTCAGGAGATCGCCAGCCCGGTTCCTCGTCTTTCCTCATGCCGTCTGTGACGGTGGCACAGCTGACCTGGCCACGGCCGAGCCTGGAGGTGAGGCCCACGAGGCACGCGGGCTTCTTTTCTGCCTTAAGTAGAAAATCTAGGAGGGTGTTTTCATCGGTTTCAAGACTCTGGAAACCACTGGCTGGCCAGCTGTTGGCTCTAGAGATGTCAGTGTAGACGCCGGCTAACCGATGCTGTCTCCACCAGTGCGGGGCATGCTGGGCCTTCAGCGTGGTGTCGGCCGTGGAGTCCGCCTGCGCCATGGCGGGGGCGCCTCTGCGGGAGCTGAGCGTGCAGCAGGTCCTGGACTGTGCCTACGATGACCGCGGCTGTGGCGGGGGCTCCACCCTCAGCGCACTGAACTGGCTCAACAAGGTGACACCCCTGCCTCACTGCCCTTTGCTGGCTCAGAAACTTACTCTCCGACTCTAAGTGAGGTGGTCAGGCTCCGGCCTGTCAGCCCTCGGGGAATCGGGGCGAGCATTCTTAGATCTGACTGCAGGAAACGCTGATCTAGTCCTCCCCGGTTCTGAGCAGGTGGTGCTTTTCGCAGCACACGTGCCCCGGGAAGTGGCCACCACAGGGCCATGCCAATTTCTGATGTTCTGTGGGGCAGAGGGATGAGCTCGCTGAGACCCTCCTATGGGCGGAGGGCGATCCTGAGAAGAAGACAGTGCTGCCGGGTTGGCCCCTGAGCCAGAGCTGCTCCACTGTCCCCGCCCCGTGTGGGCTGTGCTTGGCCCGAGTGTCCCTTGATGTCCTCGGGCCTGCCCCTGACGTGGCCCCAGGCCTGGCATCAGCTGCATGGAGCCAGCCAGAAGGGTGCCCTGACCCCGTGCGAAACCATCATGCGGAGGGCCCCAGCTGCCGTACAACCACCACCATGAGCCAGCCACTGTTCCCCATGGAAGTGGGGAATCGTGGGCCCCCGCCCCCCAGCCCAGCCTGACAAAGGGGAGGGCTCCGTCCTGGCCCCTGGGAGGCTGATGCCCTCTTGCTGAGGCTCCACCAGTGCCTAGGCCCCGCCACTGTGGGAGGCATCTCAGAGACTAGGTCTGAGCTGGGAGCTGAAGGAAGCCTGTCCTGGCTGCCCCGTCCTCTTGGGAGAAAGGCAGCAAGACCGTGGGGTGGCTGGAGGCTCTGGGAAGGGCGGTGTGAGGGTGGGGGTGGACGGGAGGCGGACTGTCCTCCAGATGGCTCGCAGAGAGCTCCCGCAGGTCCAAGAGCCCACGTTCACAGGCATGGGGGCGAGGCCGAGTGCTGAACCCATTTCACACTGAAGTATGTTCCAGTCTGCTTTTGAAACCACCGAGGGTGAGCAGGTGCTCCTGTCTTCCAGACGCAGGTGAAGCTGGTGGGGGAGTCGGAGTACCCGTTCACAGCCCGCGACGGCATATGCCGCTTCTTCCCCGCTTCCTGCCCCGGCGTCTCCATCCGTGGGTACTTGGCCTACGACTTCAGGTACGGCCGGGCCCTCCCTCCAGGCTCTCTCAGCTCCTGACCCCCTGGCTGCTCTGGGTTAGCTGTGTGAAGGCAGCTGGCAACTCCTGACCGCCCTCGGAGAGATCTTTGTTGGAGATGGCAGCTGGCCACGTGGGGTGTAGACATCTCATGGTAACCTGCTTACTCCCACTCGTCAGTGCAGTGGGATAGCAGGTGAGCCAGCCTAAAGCCAACGTGAGGAGCAGCTCACGGGTGCCATGTCTCCCTGGCAGACCCGGCGTCACATGTCACCAGCCTGGTTAGCCCTGCTCTCAGTCAGCTGGGATTGCTGTGTGGACTTGCCAGTCAGGCTTCGTACCAAGAAGCAGTTGTTGAACACTCTCTGTTTTCCTTGCATTTTTCAAGACAACAGCTTTTAGAAAAAGACAAACCAAAATGACAAGCTCGGGAGCAGGAGGGGGAGTTTACTCGGCAGGTGACGCCGTGCAGGTGCTGCGTGGGGCAGGGAGGCAGAGATGGAGGGGGGCCAGTGTGGACACTGTGAGGCAGGGTAACACTGAGGGTTCGGGCAGGCAGTCACAAGGTGCCTGGGAGCACATGACACAGGGCCGGCCGGGACATGGCAGAACAGGTGTCCAGGGAGGGGACGGACAGAGAAGGGCTTGGCCAACACCTGGCCGTTCTTCATACAATGTGATGGGTGTGCCAGCCGGTGATGTGGTGGTTAAGGAGATGGATCCCACACAGCCGAATGAACGGTCCACATCCCAGACCGAGGTGCCCGAAAAACATGCCAGGCACGTATCATGGTCCCCAAGATCCTGAGAGGAGGAGAAGAAGGGATTGTAGCCTGGCCGTCCCCCGGGGGTGATGGCTCACTTTCCCTCTCTTTCTGTCTCTCTGTTTCTGGCAAGTACACACCACACACACCCTATAAGAAAACCAAAAATGAAATGCGGCGGGAACGGCGTGCAGTCTTCCGTAGCAGAGAACACAGAACAGAGTGCGTGTGCGTGGAGGCAGGAGGTCCTGCACTTTACTGGTGCCGGAGGTGAAAGGTGGAAGGTGTTCTGACTCAAATGGAACACCTGGGGTCAGGAAGCTGGGGCAAAGTTGGACCCTTACTAGCAAACATGACCTTCAGGTCAGCCCAAGTGCAGGGGCTGGCAGGGTGTCCACGCAGCTCCCACCCATGATGCGGGCTGGGCGACCTGGGGACCACGGCCGGGAGACCGAGTGCCACCGTCCCACAGCCATGGCCTGCTCATGCAGGGGCAGGTGTGTCTGAGAGAAAGTGCCACGCGCCCACTGCCAAGACCTCCGAAGTCCAGAAGGGTGTCACACCTAGGAACTGGGTTTTCAAAATGTCCACAACAGGGGTCCGAGGACCCTCCTCACTGGCAGCAAACTGGAAATGCAGCAAGAGGTGAAAGGGCAGCGGGTTCTATTCTGCACTCGAGACAGTGGGACGCAAGGCTGGAGGTCCGGGCCTTGGTTGGAGGGAGGGCCAGCGAAGGCGTCCGTGCTCACACTGAGCCCTGAAGTCTCCGGAAACAGCCCTTGGCGTGAGACTGCAGCGAAAGCTCCTCTCCTGGGGCCGCTCACGCACACACGCCGTGTGCAGGTCAGACAGACCAGTGAGGGGTCTGGCCTGGAGGAAGTCACGCTCATACACAGATACGCCGTGCGCAGGTCAGACAGGCCAGGGTGGGGTCTGGCCTGGAGGAAGTCACGCTCCAGAGCCAAAAAGCAGCGAGAGGGCCCGGCATCTGGGAGGGAGCACTGTCTGCTCATGCGGCAGGGCCAGACCCACCCAGGACGTGAGTTGGGCATGTGCCTGTCGGGAGGAGGAGGACACGGCAGTGACTGCTGCGAGGTGGCCTTGGAGAGGAGCGGCAGTGGGCGGAGGCCCCAGAGCAGACACGGCCCGACTCCTTGGCACATGCAGCGGGCAGTTGAGGCTTCTGGGTCTGAACAACTGAAACTCGGGTCCGCTGTGAGTGAGGCTGGCGGGTCTGAGCCAGGGCGGTTTAATGGTCCTCAGGAGCTCTGCGGGGGTGGCCCAAGGGTCACGCAGTGTGGGGGACGGGGACCGAGGACCAGGTTCTCCACCATGCACCTAGTACCAGGCATTCGAGAAGTGCACCCGTGGCTTGATGACAGGGTGGACACCAGGCTGGCCCTGGGCTTTACTGTGGACTCCGGGAGGGACGCGCTGTCTGTTGGAGGTCCGGTCAGCACTCGCTCTCCTGCTCACTGGCATTTCCTGTCTTCTGCTTTTTCTAACAAGCTTCCTTTGTGTGATTACAAAGTGGCCGCTCGGTGCCAACCCGCGATTTCCGTCTGTGGCACTCGCGTAGGTCAGTAGGTCCTGGTATGGCTCATAGGCTGTGGCAGAGACAAGCTGTCTCCAGGTGCTCGGCTGCCCACGCCCCTTCCTGCGAGAATCCCTGGGCCTCTGGGTACTTAGCAATCTGAAACGCCGCCCACCCACCTTTAAGTTTGGCTGAGCCTTGGGACTGTTCCAGTGAGACCCAGAAAGTAGCTGGCGAGTGGGTGTGTTATTTCTGGAACATCTTCTCAGCTAAGGTGAACCCTTGTTCTCCTTTCCACTCCCTGCTGTCCAGAATATGTGCTAAATGGCTGGAGCTCCAGCAGCCACCTTGGACCTGGAAGGCCGTCAGATGGGAGCTCTCACATGGCAGGGCAGCAGTACAGAGCGTCTGGTGCCTGCGTTCCCACACCCTGGAGCCCTCTATCGGTCCTGGTCTGCCAAGCTCCCGGCTCCCCGTACCCTCTTTAGGTTTCTCGTGAGTGCACCTAGGCCTGCTCCTGGTCAGCGCAGATCAAGTAGATGACTTCTACTCCTCCCCGAAAAGTAAGCTCCGCAAACACACATCTCCTCTTCCCGTAGTGCCCAAGAAGACGAGATGGCGAAAGCCCTCGTGGCGCTAGGTCCACTGGTGGCCGTCGTGGATGCAGTGAGCTGGCAGGACTATCTGGGAGGCGTGATCCAGCACCACTGCTCCAGTGGAGAAGCAAACCACGCAGTCCTCGTGACTGGCTTTGACAAGGCAGGTGAGCGCGGCAGAGGCGTGGTGGTGTCGGCCTGGGTGCTCAGGCCAGGAGCTGTCCTGGGGCACGAGACTCAGTAGAGCCCGGGAGCCCTGGTGGCCTCTCAGAGTCTCTGGAGACGTCTGCCAGGTGGCGCCTGCCGCTTTGGACGGATACCTGGCTAAAGTGGAAGTTTTCACTTAAACGGTGTGTTTCTCCATCCGGAATGCTGAGGGTGACCATGGGGAAGCCGCAACAAGGCGCGTCCCCTCCATGGGCACGCACGCTCTCACTCAGCCCCTTGTGAGTGAAATGACACTGAGCTGTCCACCACGAGGGTGACGCCGAGATGGCCACCGGTCACCGAGCCATGCTGGAAGAGATCGCGTCACCACGTGGCTGTCCCTGGGAGCTGCCCGCTGCTCCAGAGCCCAGACCCAACGCGGACGCCGTGCGCGTCAGACAGTCCCAGCACTGCCTTGTGTCCTGCAGGACAGACCCCGTACTGGGTGGTGCGGAACTCCTGGGGGCGTTCGTGGGGCCTGGACGGCTATGCCCGCGTGAAAATGGGGAGCAACATCTGCGGTGAGTCGTGGCTCTGTGAGTGAGTGACAGCCAGGTTATGTAGGAAGAGTGTGTGAGCGTGCTGCCCTTGCACCCTCTGTGTGTGACAGCCAGGTTACTGTGGATGAGTGTGTGAGCGTGCTGCCCTTGCACCCTCTGTGTGTGACAGCCAGGTTACTGTGGACGAGTGTGTGAGCGTGCTGCCCTTGCACCCTCTGTGTGTGACAGCCAGGTTACTGTGGACGAGTGTGTGAGCGTGCTGCCCTTGCACCCTTGTCCACTTTACAGTGCACTTCCCGTGGACACAAGCCTCTGCAGTAATGATTCACACCCTTCAGTTAATAACTGTAGTTATTACATTTCAGAAAGGTAGACTGGAATAAGACAGTGAATACAGTTATCTATGTACGTGATTCTGTGTGTTAGCAAAGGTAACAAGTTTGAAAACTAAAATAACACTCAATTAGAGGCTGACATCTGAACTTCTCTGGAACTATCTTCTTTTTTCCAAGTTTACTTTTTTTGGGAGAGGTTTTTGCTGTAGTGTGCATGCACTCGCCAAAAAGAGAGACAGACGGCGAGAAATCCCCCCCCCCAAGGGATGGCCACGCCACAATCCCTTTTCCTCCATTCTCTTCTCGGGATCTTGGACACGCATACATGTGCCCAGCATGAGTTTAAGCCACCGGGTCCAGGACTCAAACCGTGGTTGACTACATGGGAGTCCAGCGACATAGCCATTACACCATCTGCTGGTCCCCCAGGTTTACTTTTTATAACTGTTTCAATTTTTTTTGAGTATAATATCTGCTCAATTGTTATCAAGAATTAGGTTTTCTTTGTATCAAAATGTATGAAAATGTAACTGTTAGTGTTATTTCTGGCTTAATGTAACACTTAACACCCTCTAAACTCCAGCAAACTTCCACTAGAGCTAAGAGGCGTATACGTAATCACCAAACCTGGTTTTTATTAAATAACACATTTTTCTTTTAACTAGCCACAAACTGAGCTCGAGTCACTGGTTAAGTATTTTAAAACTGCCCTAAAATTTATATTCAAACCTCTATTCTGAGACTTCTGGTCTAGAAAGGCAAAATCTGTTCTTTACCAGGTGAAGCTCACGCACTGTGAGAGAGCAGTCGTTTTCTCTCTCAGCTCAGCTCTGACACGCATGCACTTCTTTTCAGGTTTTGCCATAGGGCACGTGTACTTGCCAGAAAAAGGCAGAGAGAGGGGAAGTTAAAATCATCTTGAGGGGGATGGCCACGCTGCAATCCTGTTCACCTGCTCAGTGCGGACCTTAGACGTGTTCAACTGCTCAGTACAGACCTTAGACGTGTTCGCCTGCTCAGAGCGGACCTCAGACGTGCTCGCCTGCTCAGAGCGGACCTCAGACGTGCCCGCCTGCTCAGTGCGGACCTCAGACGTGCCCGCCTGCTCAGTGCGGACCTCAGACGTGCCCGCCTGCTCAGTGCGGACCTCAGACGTGCCCGCCTGCTCAGTGCGGACCTCAGACGTGCCCGCCTGCTCAGTGCGGACCTCAGACGTGTCCGCCTGCTCAGTGCGGACCTTAGACGTGTTCGCCTGCTCAGTGCGGACCTTAGACGTGTTCGCCTGCTCAGTGCGGACCTTAGACGTGTTCGCCTGCTCAGTGCGGACCTTAGACGTGTTCGCCTGCTCAGTGCGGACCTTAGACGTGTTCGCCTGCTCAGTGCGGACCTTAGACGTGTTCGCCTGCTCAGTGCGGACCTTAGACGTGTTCGCCTGCTCAGTGCGGACCTTAGACGTGTTCGCCTGCTCAGTACGGACCTTAGACGTGTTCGCCTGCTCAGTACGGACCTTAGATGTGTTCACCTGTTCAGTTAACGAGTAGCTTTTGTCATGTTATTGTTTGTTTCTTCAAACAGGAACATTAGGCATCTCTTCTAGTGCCTGCATTGAGGCTGCCTGCCTACCCCAGCAGGTAGTAATTAACAGCAGGTTATCTCCTTGGGAGGCTCTAGCTCTTTCTGGACCCAAACAAAAAGCAGGCTCTGGTTTGCTGCTCCAGAGCGTCTAAGGAGACACAGGCTGGTGCTGACATTCCATTCCCCGCAGGGATCGCGGATTCCGTCTCTGCTGTGCTTGTGTGATGTGTCGGATGGATCGAGACGCCAGTGAGAGGAGAGTTTTCGAGGGGCAGACGTGCACACGGCCCTCCGCTAAGCTTCACCTGGCTTCGAGGGGCAGACGTGCACATGGGCCCCCCCGCTGAGCCTTGCACCTTCCAGCTTTGGCAGTTCCACAGAGAGGTCTCGGCCCGGGCGTGTTTGCACTGAGGAGTGGGTGGTGCTCCTAGAGGGACAGTCGGGCCCACGGGAGGCTGCGGGACAGTCCCCTGCTCTGGGAGGGAGCGCAGGTCCTGCCAACCTGAGGATGCTGTGGTTTGCTTTTGTTTGCTTTATTTGGGGAGAAGTGGAAGTATTTGTTTATTTTTAATGAAGTATTTCAGACACGAACAAAAGATGATGTTTGTTTCTCTCGTGGGGTTATCTCGGGCCTTAGCGGAGCCCCGTGTAGACAGTGGTCAGCCATAGAGCGCGGCCTTGGGACGGACAGGA